GAGAGAGAGAGAGAGAGAGAGAGAGAGAGAGAGAGAGAGAGAGAGAGAGAGAGAGAGGCCACTGGGCTGGCAGTGCAGACGGAGCTGTGTGGAGCCAGGGTGAGATCTAGGCAACAGCAAGGCACCGTAGAGATGGGGGCTTTGTAGAGCCGCCATCCCATTGCTGCTCTAATTCAGGCCACATTTATTGGCCACCCACTGTATGCAGGACCTTGCTGGGTGCTGTGGGGATTTTAGTAGTTGGTGAACTACTGTTGTAGTAGATTTTAGTAGTCTGGTTCACACTGTTGTCTCTTAAAGGCTACCAGGGACACCACGGCTATAACTGAGACCCTTGGTCTTCAGAAGAAAGTCAGCCTGGCACTAGACTTGAAGTGCCCCAGTCCTGCTTTCTCTGCTTTTAAACTCTTCCATCTTGGTGAGCTACTTCATTGCTCTGCGCCTCATTTTTCCCACATGGAATTAAGAATTATCCCGGTAGTTACCTTGTCAGAGAATGGAGATTTATGTTCATACCACTTTTTCTCAGGGAAGGTCCTCATCCGTGGTTTAGCAACATTTTGATAAATTCTGATGGTCCAATATAATTGATTTACACATTGAAGGTGCTGTGGGAGCTAGAGCGACGGCGCGGTGGTGTGTGCAGGCATGGGGATCTGAGGACCTGAGTTTGAACCCCCAAACCCACATACAAAGCTGGGCATGGGGGCTGGAGAGATGGCTCAGTGGTTCAAAGCACTGGTTGCTCTTCCAGAGGACCCAGGTTCTAGTGCCAGCACCCACATGGCAGCTCCCAACTCTACACTCCAGTTTCAAGGGATCTGAGGCTTTCTTCTGGCCTCTGTGGACACCAGGCAAACATGTGGTACACAGACATACAAGCACACAAATACATTTACATATTAAATAATAAAATATACTTTTTTAAAAAGCTGGGCATGGCTACACAGGCCTGTAATATCAATGTTGTTTAGGGTACGGACAGGTAGATCCTGAGAGCTCTGTGGCCAACCAGCCTAGCCAAAAAGGCAAGCTTCCAGTTCATCAAGAGACCCTGTAATAAGATGGAGAGCTACAGAGAACGACACCCAAGTCTCGCTCTGACCTTTACATATGCACATGGTCACGGTCTCAGATACATGTATGCACAGACATCTGGATCCCTGAATTCGGAAGTTAAGCAGTCATACCTGTTCAACTGACCTGTCCCATCAAGACCCCAGGGCAGGGATGGGTGGCTACTTTGGCAGAAGGCAGCAGCCCTCATCTTTGATGGCATTCTCCTAACTGGGTCAGAAACCTGGCCTGGGAAAAATAGCAAACACTCTTCAGTATTCAGCCAGGCCCCAGAACAGAGCCCCCCGAGAGAAATCTAACCAGATCCACGCATGCGGTTTTAAACCTCTGATAACCACCTCATAAAAGTAAAAGGAAGCAGGTGATGGTAATGGCATACTTTAGTTAGCCCAACACATGAGAAACATTATCAGATCGACGCATAATAAATCCCAAGGAATTATTCCTGAGCTTACTTGTGTTCTCTTTGCCATACACAATCATCAAAATCCGGTGTGCGTCTCACCGACCCAGTTCCTGAGGCTCCACATGGGACACAGAAACCGTGCCTCACCTCTACTACTGAGTTCAGAGATATGATTTCCAGGGAACGCTCTTGGCGCACACATCTGGGAATTAGGCAAGGGTTCTGGGCAAGTCCATGATGTCTTAGTCCATGGTGTTCCTTGATGTCTGTCCCTGTAGCAAGATGTTTAATTTCTCTGCCTCAGTTTCTCTCTCTCTCTCTCTCTCTCTCTCTGTGTGTGTGTGTGTGTGTGTGTGTGTGTGAGAGAGAGAGAGAGAGAGAGAGAGAGAAAGAGAGAGAGAGAGAGAGCCTTGACCTTCTCTCTGGCCCAGGGCTCACAGGTTAGCCAGGCTGGCTGGTCAATGAGCCCCAGGGAGGGACCGACTTAGCCTCATCCCTTAGATTCTGAGATTCTGAGAACACGCCTCTGTGCCTGGCTTATGTGTGAATTCTGAGCATTGCACTGGGGTCCTCGTGCTTGCACAGCAAAGCTTTACTGACTGAGAAGCTCCCCAGGCCTGCCTGCCTCATTGTCTTCACATAGAAAATAAGGACAATCCTAGGAGCTCCCTTGAGATTGTCCGAGGAGGAAGACCACTTCCTTCTGTCCATAGGTACGAGGTAGTCAGGGCTTGAACACCTCAGAGCTGCTCCACCAGAGCCCCAACTCCTGGTTCTTCCAGCCTCCGTGCCAAGGCAAGTAGTACCAGAAGTGAGTGAAAAATATCAACTCTACGGGGATGAGGAATCCCAACACTTCTTAGATGGAGGCGCAAGGGTCAGAAGTTCAAGGTCATCCTTGGCAACACAGCAAGAAATGTGCATAGGAAACTGAGGTAGCTGCCCCACTCCGGACGTGAGCACCACAGTGAAGTCACAGAGAAGAAAACACACAACACTAGAGCTTCACGGAAATGTAGTCACATGATGGGCCCACTCAGCGCACCGATACTCCGGGCTCAGGGCTTCACAGCGTGGACCCACAGAAGACTTAGCCAGCCCTGGGATAGCTCGTACTGGTATCTTCACTTTAAGGATGAGGAACCCGAGGCACAGAGGCGCAAAGACTTTCGTCTGATGTCACCCAGCTGGGACGGCTTGCGCAGAGCTGCACCGAGTTGCCAACTCTCTGCCACCCTTGAAACGGAACAGTCTGCTGTCACCTGGAAACAATGGGGAGGGAAGATGAGCTGTCTGGCACCATCATGTTTAGTCGGTCCAGACGGTGCAGAACCTGTATCCAATACCTGGCCGGATGGGAACAGGAAGAGGTGCAGACAGACAGGCAGCTTCCCAGCAAATGGCGGGGGACTCACAGGATGGAGGGGGAGACTCACACTCCACCCAAAGGGAGGGCCCAGGGAAGGGAAGCCTATGACTTCATCACCGGGCCCACGCCAATGACATCACCAGGAGGGCGAGGAGCCAGGCCCAGCAAGTTATTTATGGAAAAGGGCAGGCGGCCAGGCACAGATCCAGATCCTGAACCGCTTCAGATGTGGTTGGATACAGCTTCCAGCTGGCCCAGTGGGACCTCCAAGGCCGGCAGGCAGGCAGGCCAGGAAGGGGGAAGGCTGGAGGTATCCAGCTGATGGGGGCAGGGCTCCTTGAAGCTCATGGGAGCTTCAGCAGAGATTTCCAGAGTTCCAGGCTTCTCCCTCTTGGGATCTGCTCATCTCGATGTGTGCTCGTCCAGAACTCCCCTGCAGTCAGACTAGCTGAATTCAGACAGCGTTGCACATCTGCCCTCGTGTGCACCGAGGGCTTGTCTGTGCATAAGACTGTTACATGGGCTTCCCAGTCCATAGGAAGATACACTCTGCTCCCTCACACACTGCTGCCCTGAGTGGTCCTGAGTGAGTATACAGATCTGTGCACCCTGGCACGTGTGTGCCTGCGTGGGGGTTGGGAGGTGGCGTGCACAGGGAGAGCGAGCAGGGAGAAAGAGAAGCGCCGCTGGGGAGTAAGATCACAGCAGGAAGTTGGGAAAATATCATTTCAGCCTAAGATCCAGAGGCACTTATAGAAGCTTCGGCGAAACCAGACAAACCTTCCTTTCAATCCATTTATCAAAACTGCCCGCAGCTCTGCTTCTGAGCAGGTACAACAAGAATAAAATATTGAGCAGAACTGGCGACCGCGGGACTGGAGGAGGCCAATAAATAAGAAGTTACTGAGAAACCCGTCCTGACCCAAATGGGTATGCTCTGCCGGTCCCTCCACCCAAATCATCCTGTGAGCTTATGGGTGATGGCAGGAGCAAGGATGGCAGGGGCCTGCCCCATTGGACAGATCTCTGCTGCTTTAAATGAGTTGGGAAAATGAGACTAGCCTAACCCTACACAGACGGGCTTCGTTGAGGCCGCCACATAAGCGATACTCTCTGGGCTTGCTAACTGCCTTCCTTCCCTCTAAAACCTCCCAGGATGGGCTGGAGAGATGGCTCCATTGGTAAAGATGCTTGCAAGCAGGACTAACAACCTGAGTTCAATCCCCTGAACCCACAAAGGAGAAGCGATCTCTGCATGCTGTCCTTTGACCTCCGTGTGCAGACTATGTCATGTGTGCGGACACACAAGTAAATAATTAAGCTTTTTTAATTCTCCTAAAGGGAATCAGACCATGTGACCAAGAGAGACCTGGTTGTTCAAGGCAGCATAAACGTGAGAACGGACCCAGGCAGTAAGAAAGGGGTTGGAACCCAGGCTCCAGGCTACACTAAGACCCTCCACTCTCACTGTCCTGTTAACTTGGACCTTTAGGGAGGTGGGTAGGTGGAGGGATGGACATGCACCTGAATGAGAGTCCCTCTTTCAGATTCCCCCTTTCAAGACATCTGTCCTGATGACATTTTGTAAATGCTCTTAAATTGGACCTTCAAAATACAGTGTCTCACTAGCTTCTTTTTCCTCCACAACCACAGAATTTTGGAACCTGCTTTCTCTCCATGGACACTATCCAGGGGCTCAGAGACCTGTGCTTACCACTCCCTTGCCTGCCTTTCCACCACCATTGTCACCCACAGCCCCATTAATACCATGGTCAGAATGGTTGCAGACTGTATCTCAATGCCAGGACCCCAAAGGGCAGGAGCAATTGCCTGGAAGGCTCCACAGGACAACGGCACCAGAACACTTCTCTGAGCTGCCCCATTGTGATCAGGGTCAGCAGAAAGGTACCCGGCTGCAGCTCTCTAGGTCCCTGAGGTGAACTCTCAGGAAAACCGGAAGGTAAAGGCTGATGAGGAAAGCAGAGGTGTCTGATGGCTGCTAGAGGGATGGAAGGGCACCAGGGCTCCGTGGGGGGTAGCTGAGGTCATGTTCTGCATCCCTCTGCTTCCCGAAACACAGCCCTGCCTTTTCTAGGATGTTCCTGGGAAGTAGATGTCCTGTCCATACACTGTTTTTCAAAGGGCTTCCTCTTCAGCAAGCACCATGTTCCTTTCCATTTCCGCACACACTGGGCAGCTTGAATTCTCTGGGTCTTGTTGAAGTAGGATGAGCTGAGAAAATAAGGTCCTTTGGATCCAACTACCCCCTCTCTCTTCCTCTGTCTCCCCTTTCTTCCACATCTCCCTAGAAATCAACCACTTGTGCACACGAGCGTGGATGCACATAATGTACACATACACGCGTGTCTGTGTGGGCATGTACAGGCTCATGCAGTGGTCAAAGGTAACAAGCTGGTGTCTTCTTTGGTTCTCCACCTAACTTTCTGAGACAGGGTTTCTCACTGAATCAGCAAGGCTGGCTGCCCAGTGAGCTCCCTGAATCCCCTTTCAGTACTGGAAGGACAGACAGACATTGCACCCATCTTTATATATGGGTGCTGTGACCCAAACCCGGGTCCTTAGGAAGCACCCACCACATTCCTTCAACAAGATGGAGGTGGGGCAGTGCAATGGTTTTATCAGCAACCGCCACTCGAGAATCTGAGGGACAGCTCCATCCTGCGACAGCAAATGGAAGAATGGAATGGGCAAGGATGGAGGGAGCTGCAGCTAGAGTTCTGAGGCAATTACCATTTTATTGCGTTTCTGCAAAGCTGCAAAATGCCATTCCAGGAACTGCTGGCCCCAGTACCCTTCCCTCCCTCCTCCTCTCCAGCCTGCTTTCATACTGAATGGGCTGATCTCTCTCTCTCTCTCTCTCTCTCTCTCTCTCTCTCTCTCTCTCTCTTTCTGTGTGTGTGTGTGTGTGTGTGTGTGAGCAACTGTGCGTGTATGTGTGTCTCTCTGTGTGTGAGCAACTGTGCGTGTATGTGTGTCTCTCTGTGTGTGTGCACCCATGTGTGTGGTGGAGGTGATGGTCGTGGGGATGCGGATCCAGAAGGAAAGTTGCCAGGCAACCATCCCAGCTCATGCTTTCCCCTGGCTTTGAAAATCCATGACAAGAGGGAGCAGACATTTTTTTTGTTGTTGTTGGGGTGCTTGGGTACAATCTCCCAGGATAAAAAAATGATGCAAGACATAGCACCAAGAAGAAGGAGTGGTCCCAGCATCCTCTGCTTTCTGCCAGGCTCCAGCTAGGCTCCCATAGCAGGGCTGAGAGCCTGCTCCTGCTGTGGGTAGAGGGAAGGTTGTCCACCCTGCAGCTTTTGGGGCTTTTCTGCATCCCCAAACTTTCTCCATAGCCTTACTGAAGGAGGCATGCTTAATGTTGACTCAATATATACTATGGAATAGCTAATATCATTCCCAGTTTCCTTTGGAGAAACAGCCTAGGAAAGACTGTGTGGCTTGGCCAATGCCCACAGGTTAGAAAGTGCCAAATCTGGGACTCAAGCACAGAACCAAATGACTGTCCAGCCAGTTGCTGGCGTGTCTGTTGGCTTCTATGAGGGAAGTGGTGGACACTGACTGCTCAAAAGCAGCCTGAGCGACCAGAACTTTAAGCAGAATGTGCAAGATGGGTAACTTAGCTACTTTCCCAGACTTGGATGGATTTATGATGGTGTGTCCTGTATCCAAGGAACACCCCTAGTCTTGATCCAGGGCACACTGAGGTCCTTAGATCCTCGGGAACTTATGTGCACAGTGGAGAGCATTGGATAGGCACTTTGGATGGACTGTGAGGAGCCACACACCACATATGGTTGAATGTGCTTAAAAGCTGGAATGGGACACAGAAACAGGTATGCACAGGTGGTGCTTTAGTTTGTTGTTCGGTGTCTATTATAAAACACTGATCAAAATCAACTCAGGGGAAGAGAGTTTGTCTAGGCTTACACTTCCAAGTGATGGTCCATCATCAAGTGAAGCCAAGGCAGGGACCTAGAGGCAGCTGCTGAAGCAGAGACCACGGGAGGATGCTGCTTGCTAGCTTGCTCTCTATGGCTTGCTCAGTCTGCCTATTATACAGCTTAGGGCCACCTGCCAGGGAATGACACCACCCACAGTGGGCTGGGCCACCCTAGGTCACCATAGACCCTTCTTCATCAAACATCCGTCAAGAAAACACCCCACAGACATACCCATAGGCCAACTTCATGAAGGCAATCCCTTGACTGGGGGTCCTTCGTCCAGCTGACCCTTGTTGGTGTCAAGTTGACAGAAACTGACTAGCGAATCTGGCAAGCCTCTTCCGGTGGGTTGGCCTAGGTTCTTTTTCTCTTCCACAGAAACAATGCGGAGTGCCGTCCTTGACCTGTTTGCCCTTGGCTACAGGTGAGCCTGTGACTCTGCCTCCTGGTATGCCTGATGCCAACCTTAGCCTAGACGCCCAGCATCTGACTTCCTTGTGCATAGTGATGTACACCAGACTCTTGATCCATCTCTGATTCCAACCCTCCATACGTCAGGTCAGAAAGGGGTCACAGAGCAGGGCTGAACCAGCCTCGAAAGATGGTGGGGAAACTTAGGCTCTGGTGACAGAGTCTGGGACAGTAGAGTCTGGGACAGCAGCCAGGCAGGGGGAAGTGAGAAGAGAGGGGGAACAAGAAAGGCAAACTCTTTGAGAAAAAAAAAGTTCAATCTGATTTGTAAAAGGGCACGATTTACAAATCCGTCACATATTTTACTAGGCTGGGATTTACGGATTAGCCTGTAATACTTAGGCGGCTTTTTGTAATAAAACCTTGAGCCGAGGCAGCCTTGGGGAAGTGAGGAGGAGGAAGGAGCTTTCTCTCTCTATCTCACTTTCATTTTCCCAGTATTTTTTGATCTAGGCAGCCCCATTAATCTGTACTTTATCTGCCTATGGAGAAGGATCGAGCTCTTTATTGGATTTTTGTCAAGAATAAATGATTTAGTTTGGGATATTGTGGAAACGATTTTTGTGGTATTACACCATCTAATAAATGAAACAGCAGGGATCAATTCCTTTCTTGCGATGTGTTCAACAGGCAGGGTGAAATATGCCCCCCAATTATTTGGTATTGCACTCTATAGATATTTATAACCAAGTGTGACTGTATGGACGTGGCTGCCTCGGCATGGACCTTGTGATCCATGAGCCCCTAAAGCCACTGGCGTCGGGACTCACATGACAGAAGCCCACAGACAAAAATGCAGACCGAGTTAGTGGGACTAAGCGCCCGAGAGAAAGGCACACACTGGGGCAAAGGCCAGGGTTGAGAGATGGTGTTTAGCAAGGCCAGTGGCTTTGCGTATTTTCTGGAAGCTGGCAGAAGGACAGGGAGTTAAACTCAGCGAGCCTGGTAGATGCTGGTGTGGGAGGGACACCACACCTTCCCCCTTCTGGGCATCTGCAATTCTTGCTCCACTGCACCCCCTCTCCCTGGACACTGCTTCCAGGGAAATTGCTGGAATTACTTGGAGGGGGAAGTTGGCGTTCAGCCCAGGGAAGGCTCATAGGTTTATATTCCCCAAAGCTCACAAATATTTATTGAGAGCCTCTCCTATGATGGTGCCTAGCAAAGGCCTGGCATAAAGCAAACCAGCTAGAGGTGTTTGCTGATAGATCGACTGATAGACAGGAAGCTTCCACAATGTAACTTCCTATATATGCACATACACTGGCCTCATCAATAGAAGCAGGGACTGGAGAGAGAGAGTGTGTAATATGTAGAGGGACCCTAGTAGGATGTGGGGACCCTGATGATTTGTGGGACCTTGCTTCTCCATTCTTATCCAGTCCCCAGGGTCCAGGACTACATGCCTACCACCTTAGGGTCGCATGGACTTGGCTGCTCATCAGATTTCTATACTTGGACTCTGT